GTTATCACATAGTAATTTATCAACTGACAAACTTACTCAAACCCCATCTGATTCAAAATCAAGAAGAGGACGCCTTCGTCAACCAAGAAGGCCCAAAATAAGAACAAACCAAGAGAAAGTACTCTTGACTGGAAGAAGCATCAGGTGGTACTGAACTAACGCATTTTATTCACAGCTTCATTGAGTGTTTGTGGAATCATGTTTGATCTTTTAGTCCAATGTGAGTATGGGACTTTAACGAGTTACTGTATGTTGCACACGGTGCTCAGGATGTCGCTACTTGTTTGTCACCTGATGAGAATAACGAGATTGTAGTAAACAGATGAGTGGTCCTGATGAGATGTTGTTGTCACCATCGTGACTGCTGTTTGTTCGTCTTCACCCAGGGAGATAGAGAACAGGATCGAGGCCGATCATCCCGTGGTAAGTGTCCTTCGTTTCTTTTCATGACTCGGCAGAATTGGAGCTTTGGCTCATCTTTTTTCTTTAAGTGATGGAAAAACAGCTGCAGAAAAGAGTGCAGTATTCTGGATCACTCAGTCACATAAAAACATATTAAAGCAATTTCTTCAATATGTTCACCCGGCATCCTTAATCCTTAATAATGAATAATAGAAACACACATGAAGGCAGTTCTGTACCATATAAAGAGAGTTTTTCACAAACTTGATCACCACATTTGTTTCCTTGTTTCTTCATCTCTTTCTACTTTGTGGCTCGGTGACGTCTCAGCCGGCGCCGGCCTCAGCGGGGGAGGAGAGCGAGGAGGACCAGCAGTTTCGGACTATTTTTCAGGAGATAGCCGGCGATGTGAGTACAAGAAGTACAGCGAAACATCCAGATTAAAAATAACCAGATTGTGTTTTCAAACGATCCTAATGAATGACTTTGCCGTCTTCTACCTTCTCGTGTTTTTGTCTTTTACCACTAATAGCTGACGACATTAAATCGCCAGCTTATTGTGGAAATATGCGCAAAAATTGTCAAATTTTAATGGGCGTCTTCTTCTCTCTTCTTCTACTGTTTCCTCCTCCACGCTGGTCGCTCTCGCAGGACATGGAAATCACAGCCAACGAACTGAAAAACGTTCTCAACAGCGTGATCACCAAACGTGAGTCCAGTTAGATCAACAAAAAAAAGATTTTCTGTCAAAATAACTTAATTTATTGGTTACTGTATCTGCTGCATCTTAAATATAATGTAAATGTTTCTTTTACTTTGTAAAAACAGGGGGTTTAAAAGTCTAATTTTAGGTCTAAGTCTGAAACTAGTTAATAATTATATGATGTTAAAATTGATGACTAAATCTTGCCCCGTGTCCCTGTCTTCCCTCCAGATAAGGACCTGAACACAGAGGGCTTCAGCCTGGAGAGCTGCAGGAGCATGATTGCTCTGATGGACGTATCCTTTGTATCGAGTGCATCGGGCTGGCTGTGTTGTCTGTAGGAGGCACAACCTGCTGAGACCCCCGAACGGGGTCTGTGATGGACGCTCAGCGGGCCGAGGCCTCGAGTCACCACACAAACACGGCGACGGGTCACATTGAGGAGAAACGAGTTCACGTTTGTCATCAAGCAACATGCTTTTGACCGCCGACTCCACGAGAAGACGCTAAATTATTACACAGCTGGAAGATGTATTCAGATCAAAGTGCTAGTACCACACTGTGAAAATACTCCACTACAAGTACACGTCCTGCCTTCCTTAAGTAAAAGTATTATCAGCAGGATGTACTTACAGTATTAACAAAGTACTCGTTATGTTTCATCTTTATATAATATATATGATGTTTTTGCATTCATATTAATGTGTATGTTGCATTTTACTGCTGTAGATGTTTAAGATTGTGATCATTTTAACTCCTATTGTGAACTTTAATCTACAGCAATGCATCATATTCTATAAGATCGTCATATGTTTGTATTGTCGGGGGAAAAACAGCCTTGTTTGCAGCTTTGTGACGCTGCTTTTTGTAGCTGATCCAAAAGGGATTTTTAAAATAGTTTATTCAGCTTTATGTGACACAAAACAGGTGAACTATAATAACAAAGTCAGTGTGGGTCAAAGTGTCAGGACAGGATGTTTTATTACAATCAGTTTACTAACATTCTGGAGAAGAAGTTCAAAATTGAAGTGTCTGGCTGCACCAGTATTCTATCAGTGGATAGCCACAACTACACACAAGATAAACCTCTTTTACATCAAATAGATGTCAGTTTTAGGCTCACAGAGGGAAACTGGATTATGATTGTTTTCTGACTAAATATGCGACACGACTTTGGTCTTAACTGCTCCTGTTTAGATGGACGGGACAGGTAGACTCAATCTTCGGGAGTTCAGACATCTGTGGAATAAGATCAAACAGTGGCAGGTGGGGATGCAGGTTTCCTCTCTGTCTGACGCTCGACAGCATTTCCCTCTTTTATTCACTCGCAGTTAAAGTTAGTCTGAAAAGATGCGTTCACTACCAGCAGCAGTTTAGACATCAAGTGTCCCTCTTGCTCTCTTTCAGGGAATCTTTAATCACTATAACGCCGATCAGTCCGGTAGCATCAACAGTTACGAGATGAGGAATGCTGTCAATGATGCAGGTAATCACTCTTCTTCTTCTCTTATTTCACTTCATCACTAAAAGATTAGCTTTCCACTTACTAAATGAATCCATAGAGATATTTTGTCTTTTCTTGCCCGTGTTTTGAGATTTTCTGTGTCTTAGATTTCTGATACAATGAAGACGAATGAGAATTGAATAATATCCAGAGTAACAATGAATCAGGAAAGACAGGTTTCAGAGAAACATATCTCAAAGCCTCAGCAAATAAAACCCAAATTAAGTATACAGCTTCGCTATATACTTAATCACACTTAATTGTTCAAAGTAGAGCTTTTCAAACTACTGTACTGTGTATGGTTCAAATATGCTATAATATATAGTTATTATACTGTTTAAAAGATAAAGCTTACTGTAGTTAAAACAGTATTGTGCTGTTTGCAAATAGGCCTGAAAATACACAGTAATTATCAATGCTGAACTGTTAGCGGAGTTTAAAAACAAATATACAATAATGAAATGATGCATCATGTCATTGTCTGATGCAACATTTTGAAAAACCACGACATTGAATCATATTTTGTGGCGTAAACGTGCATGTTTTTTGTGGGATTATTTGAAAGTGTGTGTGCTGCAGATGAACCTACAGCTTGAACTCACCCTCTAAATGTTCTCTTCACTGTACAGTCATGTGCCTTGTGTCCCGCTCAGGCTTCCGTCTCAACAACCAGCTGTACGACATCATCACCATGCGCTACGCCAACGAGGGCATGAACATCGACTTCGACAGCTTCATCAGCTGCCTGGTTCGGCTCGAAGCCATGTTCAGTGAGTCGGCGACAAAAACGCCATCGCTGTTATGATTTGCGTTGGAGAAAGCCGTTGTGTTGTTCTGCTCTGAACATCTGGATTTTACTTGTTTTGTCTGTTCAAAATAAGGCTTATATGAGCCTTATTCACAAAGTAGGGCGTTCACATCACAACTCATCAGAAACAGGTTTGTTGCCATCAACATAGTAAGAAAAAATAAAAAAGCAAGTTCTGCAAAATTCCAGAGAAATAAATATAGAATCGAAAAATGTACAACAACAATATGACAAAATATTTAAGAAAACGTGTACAATATATCTGTTTTTAAAAGGAAAGCTGTACGGTTCTGTGTAGAACTAATAATACCAATAATGATCTGATTAATAACAATAATCATGATAGTAATAATAATGCCATTACTACTATGTTACTAAATCCTAGTGTCAGGTACAGATGTTTCTCTCCCCAGAGGTTGAAAGATATAAAACCTACGAGCAGACATTCAGCCAATCACAAGAAGGTTCGTAGAGATACATGCTCCTGTCTCCCAAAACCCTTTTACTAGGATAACAGGACGTTACTCTATCAGTGAACTATTATACTTCTACAGCGCTATCAGAGCTCACAAGACAGGAGAACGAGGTCAGCTGTGTCTAGAATCATAAAGCCTCTCCCTCTTGTGTCTGTGTAACTTCAGTTTGGTATCTTTAAAGGGCTCTTAGATGAAGTGGATCACACTTGTGTTGGTGTGTTGTTTTTTTCTCTCCAGGGGCGTTCCAGGCCTTCGATCAGGATGGAGATGGTACGATCAGACTTAGCGTCCTGGAGGTGAGAGCTACGACGACGTGTTAGCTGTAAACCGTAGTCAGACAGACAGAGATGTGTTCATTTAAAGCAGCTGCTGTGTGTTCCCGAGTGTTCAATTGTTGCTCTAATTTGAATGGGTCATCCATCTTGTATACTTGTTTAAACCGCCAGACTTATTGAATCTTTTCCATCTTCAGTGGCTCCAGTTGACCATGTACGCCTAGACAGACCCGTCTTCCTCCAGGTTAGCTCTGCTCCACACGAGGACCAGACCTGCCAGCCTTTACCTCAATATTCAGTGTGCCCGATTGTCGTTCTCTCTCATCCACTTCACCTCCAGCCTCCCCTCAGCTCTGCTCTTTATACTCCCAAAATGTTCACCATGCTTCTTCCATCTTTCATCTTTCCTTCATAGTCACCTCTATCTCGGCCTTTTGCATTTCTCTCTGCTCTCGTCCTTCCATTATCATCGAAATATCAGTCTATCCTTTCAGCCATTAGCCTTTTTTTATTTATAAAGACACTCGTTCCAAACCTTTCTCAGGCATCAAACACACACAACCTCTTTTTCTCTTCTGTCATAATACCTCAGAGTTCCTTCTACAGTATCACCCCACATCTGTCCAGTTGTTCAGCTCTTCATTCGGATGGATGAGTTTTTATTAGAGGTTACAATGGATTTGACAGAATATGGCTAATGGGTTGGACTGCAGCTTTTTTGTGAATTTTATTTCATTTTTTTTCCTATTAAGGCTTTGGTCAAATGAGTGTACTGCATCTTTAACCAAATAAATGAATAAATGTAAAATCACAAGGTAAAGAAGACACACAGTTGTTTTATGATGTTGCACCATTTTTATTTTATTGTTATTGTTAACAATGTCTAAGATTGCACTTTCTTAAAAAATATCTCTTCACATGTTTAATAACAACTTGAAAAAACTTGAAGAAACTCAGGAATGCCAGGTAAGAGATGAACTGCACGCTTTTCTCAGACATAAATAACGAGCGGATGAAGTGAGTTTGGAAGATGGCGGCTGTGAGAAACGTCAGCTTAACACCCGAGAGAGCTGTAATCACACCAAACTGGTCGAATCTGCCTTTTCAAATGTGGCTTTGTGTTACCAACTTGTCTGTTTTTAGGGGGTGAAGTATGGCATGGGAGATGAATCCTAATTCTTCCCTTCAAGCTCCTCCCATCTACACCTCCGCGAAACATCCTTCACCTCCACACTTCATTAGAAAACTATCTTCACTGTGGAAAATACAGCTCTGCTTCCTTCTGCTCGATGCTCCAATTATAAAATAAACTGCCCCAAAAAAACATCTCCGAGAAGGAATAAAAACAGTGCGTCACACTCACTCGTGAAAAACAGGGTTCGCCAAACAGGATTAAACCACTGTCGATATTTAGGACGAATACACCCACGCACGCACGCACACACACACACACACACACACACACACACACACACACACACAATCACCACGCCTCTGTTATCACTGCAAATGTCAATTCTCTAAAAGGCATCTTCAGGCCAAGTCCCTCAACGCCTTAATATCACTGAGCAACAAAAAGAAAAAGTTTGTTAAAATTTGTTTTCTGAGAACAAAATAAAAACCAGAAATAAATGAATTTGTGTCGCATCAATGAAACTCCTTCAACACAAACAATCACACTGAACTCTAACACCATCTGGGAAAACTTAAATGTACTCATTGTCATTAACAGAAGGTTAATTTGAGTGAATAATAACTTAATAGGTTGCTCCACATGACACATCACAACTGCACTACAACAATAAAAACATCTGGGAGCCCATGCCATAGTGTAACCAGCCTGGAGGACGGTTATGGCTTTCTGTTGCAGTTTCTACAGAAAAGCAGAACAAATCCCTCAGATACCGGCAACGCTGAAGTTTCTTCAATAATCAAAAAGTCACGTGTTCCTTTGTCTTACTTTGGTCGGTGAAAAGAGGAACTGCAATGGTCAGACAGAGAGAGAGAGGAAGGCCTGTTTTTGTAGAACGTAAAAAAACAAACAGCAGCACAACCAAGCCTCCTGTCATCATTGTATTATGGTTGGATTCCAACGTCGAACATAAAGGATGGAGTCGTCGGACGCCACTCGTCGGGCTCAAACAGGAGCGCTGCGAAGTCAAGTGGGTCCCAAAAACATCCCCCCCCCCAATATGGGAGGTTAAAGATAGCAGAGGAGGAGAAACCCTAACCCTTAAGCCTCCAGTTCAGTCTCCTCAGCATGTTTCTGCATGTGCACCAGCATCCCCTGCAACAAAGAAACGTCCTCTAAATCAAACACCAAAACATGCTCCTCTACGGACTTTAAAAGACATCGAAGTGCTGTTTTAATACCTGCTTGAGGCTGTTGCGTGCGCAGATAAACTCGTCACACTTTTTCCAGCGACATTTGTGCACCTGGGAGTTGGCGCCGGTGTGGTCGTTGACCAGGTGCTGCTGCAGATGCTCCATCAGCCCGAACACCAGCGAACAGCCGTGCCACTGTCGACACAAAACACCGTTAATCACCAACACCCAGGACGTCTGCAGATCTGAGAGATCTCTGCTGATCTGTTTCGCTGTCGAGCTATACAGCGAGAATATACATTTGGCTGAAAGAGAGTTCATCTGATTAAACTCTCTTGATCCACAAACTCCACCCCTCAGCTCTGCTCCCCGTCCCTCGTCTCACCCAGCAGCGGTAGTTCTGCATCAGGTTCAGCTTGACGGCCTGCACGCTGCCGTCATAACAACCGGTGTAGATCTGAAACACAAATAATTACAATCAGATCCCTGAGTTTATGTTTTACAAATATCAAAAGAACTTGTATGTCATACATTTTAGAAAAACATATCAGCTGGTTGAAATCTAATTTAAAAACGTGGCAGAACAAAAACAAAATATTTTCACCATGTTTGGGAGCCAATCAAATCATGTAACACAGTTAGAATTGATGATGTCTAATGATATATGCTCTGGAAGAAGCAGGACTCTCACCATGTTCTTGTGGATGGCCATACACATCACCATGTCCTTGTGTCCACCATAGATCTGCAGCTGGTTGTGAGACTGTGGAAAGAACAGGTTGAAATCTGATTTCACACCCGAATGTAAATGAGCTAATTGTGGCAAAAAAAGGCCAATATTATGTAGAGACAGAGATGTGTTTAGGATGCTGACCTGGAGATCGTAGACGCGCACCAGTTTGTCCAGACAAGCGGTCACCATCACCTTTCCCAGGACGGATACGACTGTAACAGCATGACTGTGGCCCTTGTAGACCCGCACCAGCTTCCCCGTCTGTACGAGCGGCACAGAAACATAAAGTGCGTATTAATACCGTGGCCTGTATTTTCAAAGGAGGAATCATAAACATGTAAAAAAGTGACATTAAATCCTTGTGAATAAAGAGATAAACGGGACGACTCACATGGATGTTGTGTGCGTAGACACATTGATCACTGGAGCCGCTAAATACCAGGTCGTTGACCACCTGAGAGAGCAACAAAGAGGGAGTCAAACTCTAAAACAATGAATCCTCAGCTCCCATGAAATGTAAAACATGACATAATAGAGACAGGGAAAGATATTCAATTATTATCACAGATAATACGCTTGTTTTGGATGGATGGATGGATGTCTTCAGTGAAAAAAGGAAGCAGTTGAGGCTCAGGTTACCTTCATGCAGAGCACGGGCTTGGTGTGGCCCTCCAGCGTGCGCAGCAGCAGGCCGCTCTTGGCGTCCCTCACGCTGATGGTGCTGTCGAAGGAGCCGACCAGCAGGATCCGGCAGGCTCCCTCCTGCGACGAGGCCAGACAGCTCGCGGCTCGCGGCCCGTGGCAGTCGAACACGTCCATCTGCTTGTTTGTCTAAACAAACGATCGCAAAACCAAAATCGTCACGCGTTTTCACCTTTTCCTAATCAACAGATTAGCCAACAGAGCTAAATACATTTTCTGACATGATTTGTTTCCCCCCCCCACAGATATTCAGTTTTAGGATCGCAAAAGACAAAGCAAAGCAGCAAATCGTAACATTGAAGAAGCCTTTACATTTACAACAATGCTGTGTTCACACTGCTTCTCTCACCTTGAGGTTAAAGGTCACCACCGTGCCGTTCGCCAGACCAGCGTACAGCATCTTCCATCGACTGTGGAGGCAGAGGACTCGGTCCGACAGAGAGAACTGCTGCTCGAGTTCTCGTGTCTGTGGACGTGAAACAACGTCGACTGAGTGCACTTGAATGCGTCACAGAAAAGGATTTTAGGGTGAAGAACGGCACTCACAAACACGAGTAACAATAAAGAATGTTCATTGCCGTTATTAATCAACGCATTACTCAAAAAATAATCCTGTAGTGTGTTTGTGACCAGCTCGAACTGGATCAGAGGTGCTTTTACCTTGAGATTGTAGCAGCAGATGCTCTGGTCACTGGAACCAGAATAAAGGCGTTGATGCAGACTGGGAGCCGCGGACACCACCAGGCAGCTCACTTTGGAGCTGTGACCCTCAAACACGCCGACACATTTATGACTCTGCAACGGCAAGAAAATACAAGTTTGTTGGGTTGCTGCCTTCGCAGATAAACACCCTGACCCCTGACCCCCCACGACTGCACCCACCACCAGGTCGAAGGCTTTGACGGTGCGGTCTCCTGAGCACGTGTACAACACCCCGTTGTAGATCTGCATGGCGGTCACCGCCTCCTGGTGGCCCTCGAACACACCCTCAGTGGGCAAATCCTCCTCACCGTGGTCAGAGGAGGCATCTGTGAAGCACACAGAAAACAAAGATAAAGAGCATGTTATACGTAGGTTTGTATGTTTTTCTCTGGATAAACGTTTAAATGAGACCAACGATCGGTACGCCTCAGGATAAATATACGCGTTATCAGAAGGTTGTGTCTATTCATCACTGCTCTCTTCACACTCATACAGCGTCACTGAAAGTCAAATAACACCTCTATGAATATCTTGCCCATAAAAAGTAATTTGGTCACTCGGAGAGTCTTTTTTTAACCTGCTCAAAGAGGACGGCATTTCTAATCCTAGCTGCTCAGAGGGTGGTATGAGTTCTAGGTTTTGGCTTTGTGTTGAAACATCAATTCTACCAGCGGAGTGACGGTGTGCTGCCATCACTCCAAAGTTTCCTTCATTGCAACGAAACATGATAGTAAAAAAAAGCAGATATTGCGGGATTCGTCAGGTGAGACAGTCGCGTTTCTCTTTCCAGCTCCGAGACCGTCTGAAAATGTGTGCTTGTTATCCACATATTAGAACAATATCGTATCTCCCTCCCTCTCTGCTACAGCTGGGTTTTCACTCTGCGTGTCGTACGGACTTGTTCCGAGTAGAACCCGCCTCCTCCTAGAACAGGAACGACTCTCCAGAGATGAACTTACCCGATGAGATCTTCGCTATCTTGGGCGACGTGGTGGGAAACGGCAGGTCGCTGTGTGGAGAGAAGAAGGGAATGATGAGTGGTTTTACTTTGGGTTTAATCCTGAATGATCTGTGATTAGATGTCGTACAAAAGATGATCACGGGTCTTTAGCCGGCAGAATGTGACATGGTTGAAAGCTCTAGGAGAAGCTGGTAACTGGACCTCGAGTTAACATATTTATTTATTTATTTTACGGCTGTTTCCAGAGGTCGAGAATGAGTCTCACCTCTCGGATCGACACACGTCCATGTCACTGGTGGAGGTGACCTCGTTGCAGGCCAGGCTCTGCGTCTCTGCTCTGGATGAGTCCGGGACCTGAAGCGGAGGGGAAGCTGGAACCGGGACGTCCACGTGGGGCTGCTGACAGGCTGGGGTGACCTCCATGCTTTCTTCTGAATCCAAGTTCACCATACATTCGGCGGGGGCCGCCTGGGGAAGCTCCACCATGTGTTCGGGGGACTTGAGGTCTTCTTTCTCAAGTTGGATGGTCGGAAACAGCCGCCTGGAGGCCTCCTCGCCCAACTCCATGTTCACGTCACCCTCTCTGTCTTCCGAGGGCGGCGTGGAGGTGCTGACCACAGAGCTCCCACTTGGTCTCCTGCGCGGTCGAAGCCACCGCTGCCTCAAGGCGTCGCCATCTATCTCCGTGTCGCTGCTCTCGGGCTGCTCCGTCCCTTGGGCCTTCTTCAGCACCTTCCTCTTCTTCAGCTTCCTTACACGCTTTCCGCTCCTCAGTTCGGACGGAGAGGCGGGCAGATTGAAGTCAGGGGGGGGCTCGAAGGAATGTGTGGCTGCACAGTCAACACCGCTCCCCGCCTCAGAGCTCCTCCTGCTGGCTGGGATTTTGGAGTCGGGCAATGGGGCGAGACAGTTCCTCGATGCCTGTTTGGCCTTTTCCATTGTCTCAACCAGACCCGATAAGCTCTCTTTGCAGTCTGCAGGGTCGTTGAAGTTCTCCCAACTATGGTCTGGGGACTGTTTTGTTTCAGGAGATGGCTGAGAATTAAGGGCCGGATCTGCAAGAGTTTCACATGTGCATGGATCAGTACATTGTTATTTCCCCTTGAGTTATTGAACAGTTGAAAAAAAAACTGGCAGGAGAAACCCATGAAAACAGCAAAACACATCTTTGAGGTCTAATGTGCTGAATGCATCCCCTTCCTCGTTAAACATCATCTGGGGATATTTTGGAGTAAGCAATGTTTACATCCATTTTTGCTAGATAGCAGTTATTTTTTGACTGCATATAGCTGCCACCATCTGTCCATCGGCGTAAATGCACGAAGATATCGGCAGAAATGTACTGTGAGGTGTTACCTGGTGAAGAGGCTGCAGCAGGAGCGGCATGCAGCTCTGGAGTGGTGCTGTGAGTACAGTGGGTTATATTGTCCACTGGGTCCGACTCTGAGCTGACATAGACAGGAGACTGAGGCTCCTGCTTGATAACTACAGGCACGAAGGGAAGGCTGGAGGAGGGCGGGGAGGCGGGAGGACCTGGACTGGGGGCAGCAGCCGCGACAGAGGGAGGCAGCATGGAGGACGGCACACGGGGCTCAGCGTCTACTGAATCCATCTTTTCTTCTTTCAGTTTGACATGAGGGGCTTCCTCCAAATTACCTTGTATATTAAAAATAAGTTAAATTAGTTTGTGGTCACTGGCAGGAAAAGTTACTATTTAGTAAAACATGTTATCATGTATTTCATAGTCCTTACCTTGCATCCCTCTAAGTAACTCAATGCGCTTGTTTCTCAGTGTGCTCATCTCTCCAGTCACCTGAGTGAGACAAAATCATCAAAAATTAATATTTCTGCTTGTAATATAATATAATATAATATAAAATAAAATAATGTAAAATAAAATAAAATAAAATAAAATAAAATAAAATAAAATAATATAATATAAAATAATATAATATAATGTAAAATAAAATAATATAATATAATATAATATAATATACAACATAAAACTAGAAGCACTAAAGTAAGAAAAGTAAGGGGCCTAAAAAACTAAATGTGAATATTTACCAAATACTATCCCTATCATCCAGTCTCTCACTCACACTCACACACACACACACACACACACACACACACTAATAAGAACTTGCATATGTTACCATGGTTCTTTGAGTAAAGAGGCTCTCTCCTTGTGCCCATATAGTACATACAGGTACCCTTTAAGACACCCTGCACTACCTCATCAGTAGATATAATGAAGAGGCAAGACAACCAACACTCGCTAAGCTCAGTAAACTGTGGACATCTGCTTCAACTGCGCCGGCCACAAAAACTAGGCAACTCTCCAGGAGAGAACTAACACTTGCAAACTAAAGCACACTGACTTGCTCTCGAATCAACATGATTACCTGCTGTTTAACCACCATGAGGCGCTGCACCTCCATGTAGGCGGCATCCAGTGCGGCCCGGGCCTGGATCAGACTGCCGTCCACAGTCTGCAGGGAGCGACTCAGCTCCTCCTCCCGCAGAGACACGGCCAGCAGCCGGTCGATCTGTAAACGCTCTGCACCAAAACACACTTATGAACCATCGGCAGATTGGCACGACTCAGCATTTCCAAAATCGTCTTTGTGATCTTAAAAAATTAACTTGGATCAGATCAAGATCGAAGCTGTCAAATTATTCCACCAAAATCATTAAAATGACATTAGCTGAGACAATATACTACAAAGAAAAACATATACTTCAATAATGCAACAGAACTCACAGACACGTACCTTTTTTGGATTTGACTTTCCTTCTTTTGTTGTTGTGTTCCAAGCAAGACGTCTCCGCACTTAGGACGTCCTACAAGGAAGAAAGAAAAGAGTCACACTCTTGACGATATTAAAGTAGACACATGCAGTCGTACTCCCCGAGACCTGTAAACATACTAGTTCCCCTTTAACACCGTTTCCTTTACTCACCCGAGCTGCTCTCCGCCTCTTTCCTGTTCCCTGGCCGTCGTACAGCTCCGTCCCCGAACTGCTGTCCCCGAGCACTGAATCAGACCGCTGGAGGGCCTTCACCGTCGCAGACGTTAGCTTGTCTGGCTGCTTCGGTGCCTCTTTAGCCTCTAACTGGTCAAGCATCTGCTCCACCTCTTGCTGATGGTCTTTGTTCCCTTGAGCGAATATGGGATTGGGAGAAACGGAGGATCCCTGCTCCTCTGAGCTGAGGGCTTCTCTTTGTTCCGTCTCCTTTGACACGAGGGATGTAAACAGGGAGTGAGTGGAGGCCGGGGCGACGCTGCTCTCTGATAAGGAGCGTCTTCGGGTGGTGGGGATGTCCACCAACGACTCCCACTGGAAACCCTCCAGCAGGGGAATGCCTTCTTCCTCCTGGCTCTGGTCCTCCTGGTCGATCGACACCATCTCTATGCCAAACCTGGAGGACATAGAGGACATAACGTGAGTAACTGAAATCAAAAAGAACTTTTAACACTCTAAATGTAAGATCAAACATTCACCTTGGCATGCCTTTCCCTTTGTCTTGCTTCTTCCTGACCTCCTGATACACCTGGTCCCAGTTCACATTGCGTCGAGACCCAGAGGAGCTGAGGAGCTGCCGTACAGTTGGTTTGAGCCCCGAGTCCTTCTCCGTGTCACTTCTCCGCGACTCGCTCAGGTTTCTCACCCGTCTGGCAATGTTCAGGTTGGGCTCGTGGCCACCGGTTTTGCTCTTGGAGCTGATGTGTTTGGTCAGGTCATGTTTCAAGACGGGAGGCAGGTCGAGTTTGGACGGACCTGACGTGTTTGAACCCGACTCCGTCTGAGCCTCGCCACTCCTGGAGGTGTCACTCTCTGAGCTCTGCCCGGCGTCAGCGGCCTGCATGGCTTCGTCTGGGGCCACAGGGCGTGTTTCCTTCTCCGCTCTCTCTCTCCTGTTCTCCTCGTCGTCCTGGCTCGAGGTTGCGGGCTCTGAGCTCTCCGTGGTAGAGGTGCTAACTTGCAATGATTGGAGGAACCGGCTGCTGTCTGAAGATTGCAATGCAGGCTTCTCTAGCCTGACGGGGTCCGGCAGATTTGGTTTAGCTGCTTTCTGCCTGTTTTCTTTGTTCACTCCTATCTGACTCTGTACGCGATCTCTCTGCTGCTCCTCCTCAATGTGGAGTGTCACTTCCATCCTGTAGTTTCTGGAGCTTTCCAAGGAGCTCCTATTTTCTAACACAATCTGTCGGGCTTTCTTGAGGGTTTCTGGGAGCTGCCGTTCTTGCCTGGACTGAAGGGGCCCAATGGGTGGAGTCTGAGAACTGAGTCCGCTCTGCTTGACGGTTTGTGATTGTGCGAGCGCTTGACTGGAGGCCTTGCTGAGTTGTGCTCCACTGTTGAGACCAGGAAGGGAGGACATCTTCTTATCTTTTTGCGGCAATGGCTTTTTTGCCTTCTGATTGGAAGGAACAGATGTGGCGCTCTGGGGGCCATCTCTCTGAGCACTACTGCTGCTTCTACTGCTGCTGGAACTACTATCTCTGGATTTGGTTTGGGGGTTCGTTTTCTGCTTTCCTTTCTCTCCCACACTTTGTCCACTTGAGGTCAACTGCCCCGGTTTCTGCTCAGGTCGGGATTGTCTGTTAAAGGCACTGGTTTCACGGGCCTTGTCTTGTGTCTGGGGTTTGGGGACTTTGGCGTACTGCTCTGATGGATTTGGATTGGTGTCCTTATGTGGTGCAGATTCAAAACCCTTTGTGACTGGATAGGGTGACCAGCGGCAGGCTTTGTCCAGCTTTGGATTGCTACCAATGGTCTTAGAGCTCTTACTGTTGTTGTGGTCGGGTTCTGCTGTTTGCCCCTGACCGTTCTGAAACCCATCACCCTGCGGACCTCTCTGCTCATTGCCTGTATTTTGAAACTGGCTACCCCGGGCTAAAGAATTGGGTGGAGATGGGTACGTAGGACACGGCGCGAGAAAGCTCAGGGGCCGGCTCCTTGGTGGGTTCTGGGAAATATTGTTTCGACCATAGACCCCGTTACTGCTGCCTCCGTTGCTGAGCCAAGGCAGTCGACTTCGTTGATTGCCAAAAAACGAACCCTGATCCCACTGCTTGTTGCCAAACCCTTCCTGGCAATGCAAGCTTCCACCAGCAAACTCTCCAGATGCCCATCTTTGAAAGTTGGGAGGCTCCCGAGCATGCCAGGTGGCGCTCTTTCCCTGTGTGCCGTGCTGCCAGGGTTGTCCCTCCCCTGCGTAGGCATTATATTGGTTGCCCCCATACCAGGTTCTGTGGTGACTGGATCCACTGAACCCCTGTGATTGCTGCTTCCAGGCACAATCCAGCCGGTAACGCTCCTTAGTTTCTTTTAACCTCTGCTGAAACTCCTCCTTTCTCCTTCGATCGTCTTCTTCTTTTGCCAGTTTTGCAGCAGCAGCGTCCTTTTCTTTTCTAAAAAAAACAAAGACAGATATCAATATGTGTCATTATCTTTCACTACATTTTAGCCTGTTTTCACATCCATCGTTTTGTTTCACTCTCACCGCGCTCAACATCATCCTTTCCAGCGGCAACAGGCAGCTGTTTTCATGAATGATTAGATGAATGTGTAAATAGGCAACTTCCATATCAACTTTAAAGGTGATGTAAAATGTAGAAGTTGTGTTCACAGCTTGTTTCTGCTGCAGGTTTGAGTTTTCAATCCTAGAACCACAATTATATGTCAAAGGAAAATATCTGTAATTGATGCCAGGGCAGTAGGCGAGTTCCTGTACTCTGTGTGTGCTGTCATGCTTTTATTTTAGGCTGCAGTCCTGACATACGACTCCAGCAGCAGCTCAACTCGAAGCAGCAGCTAAAACAGGCCCGTCGGCTCCACCGAGCTAGAATGTGACTATACATGGCGCATGTACACAAACGACAAACACGTGAGCTGTCACTTACATTTGTGGTTAAATCTTAACACATTAATAACAAAGAAAGCCATATTGTAATGGAAACAGATGTGCCTAAACGGCAATATTTCTTTTTGGCCCTGGACTAGAGATCAAATGCCATGTTGACAAATATCAAATATGTTGTTTTTTTCTAAAACACTTTTTTTTTTTTAATGATTTCTCATATTGCCAAAACAAACAATTTAATTAACAGTTTATTAAAAGCACTGAAAAGAAAACGTATTTGACAAATAGTATGTTTTTACGAATAAATAAGCCCCTTCTTACCTGATCTGTTCTTTTCTCTTCTCGATCAGCGCCACCAAAGCCTGGTCGAAGTAGACCTCGTCGCGGTCGTTCCCAGCGTGCTTTCGCTCTGCGGCCTCCGCATTCTGCTTGTGCGTGGGGCTGGAGATGTGGCTGGCATAATCAGTCAGGCTCGCCACGGTTACCTTGCACACTCTGCACTCGTGTCCGCAGTCCCTGGGGAGGGAAGGCGAGAGCGGGCATTCAATCGTTCCTTCGGGCATTGTTCTGATCTAGTCAGGTTCTGTTACTTATAAGTCAAAATAAAATCAGGAGAGGAGAATACTCAACAATCCTTCAAAGATAACTTGTCCGAATTCTCTATGTGTCACAGATCAGGAGGTAGCTAACTTGTAATTTTCTCTTGTTCAAAAAATCTTCCTGATCTTGTTTTTTTTTTTTCCCTTTCTTCAGCGGGACATAGGCGGCAGGGCGAGGGCAGGCGGAGCAGCCGGGCTCATCTAGCTGTTTTATGTCCAGCCACCAGAACCAGCCGTGCAGCACAGCACCGGGACGCGTGGAGGGGAGAGAGGCACGGCGCCCGCAGCCTAGTCCTCTTTCATGATGGTGTCCGCTGCGCTCTGAGACTCTACAGAAGGCGATGTCTGTATTTGACTTCACACTCCCTCCCAGAGAGCCGGGCACCCAGCCCCCCTCCAGCCTAGCATGTGTTATTAGAACGGGCCTGAGCATCCTGCTGACCAATCCCGAGCAAAGCCTGCGTAACTGGAGCCTTGTGCAGCTGCTCATATCGCCTTCCACTTCAAAACCTCTCCCAAGTATGCCACCCCGTGACTCTGCTGGCTCCTTCTCAATTCTCTTTTTCAAATCTGTGTCATGGCATGCTGCCATTTTCTGACCTCTCGTGCGGTTGGCCAAGTCTTTATCCGCGAGATAGAGTTACTTTCATGTATTTGCCACGTTATTTGTGTGGTGCTGGGAGAAATGCAACCACCGGACTTGGTGATGATGAATTCCTCTGCTGAGATTGCAATTTCTAAGTCGGCGTGAACCTCGCTCAGAGCTGTGTCAATCTGTAGCTAAAGTTAAGCTTCAGTCATCCCATTCCTGCAGAGACAGTTCTCTAAATCACCACGCACTCATGTGAAACTATACCTTCTCTTTCGTTGCACTTGCTGCATACTGTTTGCTGCATACTGTTTGAATCGTATCTTTTCTTTTTTTTTCTTCATGCAAATTTACCCGACAGTCACGTTTAAAAAGATGCCGTCTTTGCACACAATTGTTTGTGTGAAATCACAGTAACGTAGCAACAACTCCGTCCCTCGATCAAGTATTTTCTCCGCTCCAGATTCGTCCCTCTGAGCGACGGGCCACATAATTTTACTAATCTACACGGGGGTCACAAGATAGCCAGTTGCCTTCTATCGGTCATGCCTGTTGTTCCGGAGAGATTGTGTCTAAATATATTTGGCGCGGTGGAGACAGCTGCCCGTATATCCACTCACCCGATAACTGTGATGAACACGAGCACGAGCGCACACGTGCCTCATGACCCAAATACATTCGGACAAAACTCTTCGATCATTTAGCACCGACATTACAAATGTGTTTAAAAATAGTGCATTGAAATCATGATAGTAAAACTCCTAGATCTCGTGGTATCCATGAATATTTGGGAAACAAAATGTTTCGATATTACTAATTTCTGCAAAGAAATCATTGTGAAATCCTGAGTCATGATATATAATAACATGACATCTGTGCATGTTGTGGATTTTTGGAGAAACGTTACAACGACTCACCGGCCTTTGAGCTTCTCCAGCTCGCGGTGGTGCAGCATACTTCTCATGTGCTCATCCATCTCCTGCAGATACACATTGAAACATGAAAGTTTGTATTTGAGCCATTATTGGATTTCTTTTTTAGTTTTCAAATAAACTGAAGGATAAAATGTCCGGAAAATGTGATTCTTCTGAAGCTAAACAAACCATTAAAATACCCAATTAGCTGAAAAAATGTTCATCACAAGATGAAAGCAAGGCTGTCGTTTTAAAGCTTGAAAAATAGATTTTCTTTGGACTCAATTGATGAGTGCAAAAGATATTTAAAATAGTATAATCAACACAAACAGTCCCAACCAAATGTATACAGAATAATGCTGAATTGATTATTTGTCAAACCCCTAATATTAATTTTGTAAAAAGAACTTGTGTAACTCCAGCGTCAATGGAGCCGGAGCTCCTGAATGTCTCACATGAAATAATACAGCATTTACAATTGTGATCGTGTGTGTCGGTGTTTAGGGTGAATCACCTGCTTGGAGGAGTGGACTGTTTCACAGAGGATGCACTCTCTGTTTTTCGCCATCTTGGAACACAGGATAAATCAGCTCATTACTGTCAATGGAGAGAATTAAATAAATAAAAAGGTCTCATCAATCACAGCGTACGAGGTGCAAAGCAACAAAACCACCCAGAATTATGAATATATTATGTGGTGAGTGTGAATATTGTGACGATCAAAAACAATTCTGTGAACTCAAGACTCATCGAACCAACACAGCGGAGGGAGGTCAAGGCTCATTTTCTCCAAACAAGCACACTCTTCAACGACACGCTTCGGTACCACTGCCCAAATGTCAGCGCAGAGTTCAACCTGGACACTGGTCTAATTCCAGTCTGCTGACAGAGCAGCTCTGTGGGCCGGAGGCAGCATCGGAGCTATATGTCTGGACGTGTTGAAGGTTCACCAACAAAGTTAGAAACTACCGCCACCCACGGTTCAAAGTCTGGTCAGGACACGCTCGTGGTTATTAGGTTTTATTCGAACAATGGCCTTCTCAAGAAGAAGCAACTGACCGTGTGGAGACCTTGCTCTGTTCTAAAATGTTACAGGTTTATAGATATTGGGATAAATGTGTTGTCTTTATAACAGCTTTAGTACCGTCTAAAACTAAACTATAACAACAGAAAATAACATCTATATTGTTGAAGTTTAGGGCTGTAAAATATTAAAATAGAAAAAGAACAGTGTGTATTGTCAGTAAAAGCATCTCATGAGGAGGAATAGCTGCACTCTGAAAGCAGCTCCAGTAATTAGTTTATTTATCAAGTAATGGCCACATACACCTTCTTCAAGCAACAATCTGATCGTCAGTTAGAGAAAATTTTGCCATTTAATTGTCTCTTTGACCTAATGAAAGCTGCCTTCTTCTTCTAATTACATGCAGTGTTCTGTTTTCTGTCTGTCTATACACAACTTTCTTATCATTACCATCTTGGTGATTAATCAGTTGAACAGCTAAGTTTATCATAGTGTGTAATAAAGACCACGTGTAAGGTCCCACCAGCCTCATTAGTTAGGCCTATATTCTGTATAAGACATGTCTCACAAAACCTCCATCAAATTGTCTCTTCACTTTCAAAGCACCAGAGGGCAGCTATTTATAACACCCGTGAGATCCCTGGGTCATATTTCCTCTCAGTCACTGAATCTCTACAGGGCAGCAGCAGGCAGGACAGTGAAACACACCAAATGAATCAGATATTACCTACTGATACACCTAGAGTATCACTGTTTGAAAACAGACACAGTAAGAGGAAGATGTTTGATGGGGAATGATTCCCCACAGAGCTTTCTTTTGCAGACAGCATGCATGCAAAGTTTGTCTTTGAGGAGTTAAGAGATCTCCACAAATGTAGCATAAGCTAGCTAACTAGCAGAGAAAGAGAGAGATAGTGAAACCAAGTCTGCCCAAAGCGATTTAACAACAATGGTGAGCGTAAAACTAGCTCGCTAAAAAGATCAGCAGACATACGATTAGTTTATTCCAACATAATTAACCGTAACTGTAAAGTAACAGCTGTAGTTAGCTAGCGTTAGTAGACTAGCAAGTTAGCAACGCCATGCTAGCCAGCGAAACCGACGTTAGTACACTACTAAGTCAATTATTTACTCCACTGCAAAAGTGTGATGAAGTGCAGCTAAGACATAATGTTTTTGTGCATTGTAAATGCTGAGATATTACTGTTGACTACCTTTATAACATCCAAATGTGTAAGGGGCTACTGCATGTTCTCATCCACCGCTGAAACTAACAATAACATCCTCTTCTTCTTCTGTGGTGTTTAACTGAAACATCTTCCTCCTCCTCGCCCCGAAACTACAACCCGTGAGGCATTCAAGAACACACCACCGTCCACAACCTCACATCGTGTTCAGTGTTAACTGTTAAGTATGCAGGTTTTGTGATTGTTACACAAGTAACTCAGGACATTTGAATATATTACAACTTGGAGCCGTTTTAGCCAGAAAAGGTAAATATTGACAATAAAAACGAAGTTTATTAGAGCTCACAATTATAGTTAAGACTCCGTATTATGTGATTATCTATACTTTGTTAAATTGGGAAGCGTGAAGCAGCATGTGCGTTCATAACACATTAAGGTCGTTATTCACCACAAAATTCAGACAGAAATATAACATTTTATTTTCCAACATTTCTAACAACATAGCGTGTGAAATACAATCTTGAAAAACGACACAATTAAGACATTCATTCAAGTGAACTTTAACAACAATGTATATAGCGTTATATTTTTTACATTATTTTCAAATCAAAACAATAGACAAAGACAAAGTTCAGGCAGCACAGATTTAAACAAAAATAAAACGGCAGATCACTTTGACAGAAGAAAAGTAGTTCATCATAATCCCTTTAGAGTTATCAATATATTTCTAATGCATTGTAACTCAAACGGGATATTTTCTTGAAAGAAAAGTAGGACAGAAAGATAAAATACTCCAATATTCCCTTTATAATACGATTATAAAATCCAGCAACGTTTTGACCAAAGTTCACATTTACTTAGTTTTACACATGAAACGGACAAACCTTAAAGCATCGTTTATAAAGCTCTCAAACCCTAAAACATTTTGAGTGCCTCAGCTTTCAGCAACAATTTTACGTGCGTACAAAGCATATTTTGAAATGCAACAAGTAACAATTCACTAAATTCTTGTCAAACTGGTCATTATTTGGAAATGATTAATCCATCATAGTATTCAGTTAGAGCATATCCCTGTATCTATAAAACATGTTATGAATAAACATTCCCTAGTGTGGAGAATATTTACCAATCATTAAAAGATTATTAAGTATTGACCTAAAAAAAAAAAAAAAATCACAGACTTGTGAAAATAAAACCCACTTGGATGATTCGGATCTTGTCAGATTGTGTCATCAGTGTTTTTCTGCAAAACGTTTCAGTTTATTTGGTTCAGTTCCCGAGTTTTGTTCCTCAGATGCCTCTTACGCATTCTGATTATCCACTGAATCGTGAGTTTGGCAAAATTTGCAGCCTTGAAGAGAGCCATGAAGACGCCACACAGAATGGCGACAGAGTTCCAGGGATTTGCCGTCACGATCTGTTCAGAAGAAAGCAAAGTTGTAATACAGACTGATACACTGACACAGACAGTTCTCATCAGGATAAAATGTCCAGGAGGACTCACCAGTCGGATTTCTTGCATATAAGGATCCCGCCATTCAAAGACGGCGAAGAAGAGCTGATTGGTTTTCTCTGATTCGGGCCTTTTGTCATTGAATTTCACCACAGCGGACTAGAAGATCCAACACAAACTATTACATTAACGCCTCTAAAATCATCACGTGTGTTAGTATGAGTACACTGGTCGCACATGAATACCTCCTGACGAAACTCGACAGCTTCATTGTTTTTCCCAGACGTCTTCACGAAAGACATCTTGACCCAGGTTCTGAACCCTCCAGAGAAAGTCCACATGGAGTAATTCCTCTCACAATCCCTCATGAAGTGTGATTTATTCGCACTAGAGAGTCAGAAAACACAGGTGTCACTGAAAGTAAAATGCATGTATGTGACTGAGTCAAATCTTTGTTTCATAAAGCATGAAGTAGTAGATACATTTAAATGACGTAAATACTTCCCTGTGGAAGGTATCAAGCGGTCAGTGCGTTATTTATGTTGTGATTCCTTTCCTCACAAGAGTTTAAGCAAAACAAACACGCACCAGGAAAATCCTGTATGACCCCAGTCCATCAATCAGACCAGTCAGACGTCACAGGATCGTCTACACTTGTGTGTTTGCAGTTACCTGTCAGCCAAGTCACTAAACTTGGCAAAAAGCATGTAAGTGATGGCGCTGAAGTCCTCTTCTGTTTCATTGTGACTGAACTGCATGAAGATCAACTCTTTGCTTCTGACGTCAGTTGGGCCGCGGACCACCACAGCTGTTTTCTGTGGGAGCGAATATGAGAGTTAGGCCTATTTATTGATCTTGTTGTTTTTCTTATTGACAAAATATACTATAGAAAGAATTCAGGTAAACATCGACATTACAGAACATATGTAGCTAGTATAATACACATACACACACAGTTATAAACAAACTCAATCAGCGGTATTAGGGAAAACGGTTCCATTATTTTCAGTAACTGAACTGAGAAGGTAATTACATTCAAAGATAAAAGGTAAAAACCAAGGGAGTGATGAAGAAAATGTCTGTTTATGAATAAAAAATCGGCATATAAAATAATGAAGTTAATGAAATGTTCAAGAGTGCCATAATCTGGACTTGCATAGTAAAAGAATAAACTAAACTGGCGGCTTCAAAAAAGGGAGGCTGACCTCCGTCTGATTGGTAAACGGCCCGAAGTAAGTCACGTTTGTAATCCTGCAGTCTCCTTCTTGAGGCTTTCCCGGGTCCACTAAAGGTGGGATGTAGTCGTGGTCGTGATGTTTGCAGCTCAACAGCCGAGCTTTGCCCGGATACAGAGCGATACCTGCGCAAAGAAAAAACAAAAACACACACATGGTTATTAATGAATCATTAGGTATTGAGACTTAAACACAGCAGCAAGCCCTTGGACATGTATTGGTTGTTTACTTTGGAGTTCTATGATGCTCAGTGTCAACTCAAACTTCGACTGTATGATATCAACACCATGATTCAAGTTTATATCATCATAAACCTTTTAAGAGTCCTGCTTTCAGATGGCAGCAAGTAACAGAACAAGACACATTGCATCACATGAAAAATAACTAAAATAAAAGTAGTAACATAAAAGTAAAATGAAAAAGAGCACGGTTAACCTAAAACACATCAACGTTGGTATTATTAAGTCTGCAGTAATTTAGAATCACATGTTCTGTAACGATGCCGGGTTTGTTATTTATCACACACACTGGGGGCCATATTAGAAGAGCTGTTATCCATGTTCTACAGTTTAACCTGTACATTATTCAACAAGCTGACATGAATGAAGCTTTCTAATCTAATCTAATCGTTTGGATTCACATCCAATAAGTGTTCGCTTGTTAGCTAGCCTAACTAACCATGGTATCTGGCCAGCTAGCTTTCATGTAATTGCTTTATTTTTTGGCTGCATAACACGTTGTAATCTTTAGTTCAAAGGTGCATATTAACATTATCCTCACACTGTTTAATGTTTTTAGCTATCAAATAAACATCTACGGTTTAGTTCAGGTTAACTTGGTTAAAAAACAAAAGTTAAAGACCGGACAGCTATAATATATTTTTCAATACAGTTTGTGTCTATTAATTAGTAGCAAAGGTGCAAAGTATGCATTGACTCACGTGCTGAACTTAAGTGTAATTTTGATGCACTTCTCTTGAGTATTGTGAGTATTTCTATTTTCTAATCCACTACATTTGAGAGGCACATATTGTACTTTGTACTTCACTACATTTATAGTTATTACTTACATAATAATAAGGTTTTAAATAAAGAAACATGTTCTAAGTTGATTAAATAGTCTTTCTGTTGTGGGCACAGTGTATTGCTCAAGGACACTTCAACGTGCGAACAGGAGGAGCCGGGGATCGAACATCCAACTTTCTGATAAAAGGTCGGCCGCTCAAACCCTCACCCACAGCTGTCTGATCTTGATTAAACAACCCAACAGTATATAAAGTAATTAAACTGGCTCCACCTTGACCAGCTGCAACATGAAAATGCTGGCTACGTGTTTTACACTCTGGAATAAATCATTCTGCATAACAAGTACTTTAAGTGGTTTTACATGTTAATAGATTCCTGCATATTTTACTTACTTAAATAAAAGATCTGAATATCTTTCTGCCCACATTGGCTGTTACCTACTAAAGCAGCCGTGTTATTTCTACAAACCTGGTGCTGAAAAGAAGTCGACCTCTTTGTAGGTGACGGACATAACAGGGTGGTTGAGTTTCTCCAAAAAGTCCGAGATGGTCTGATAGGCCAGGAACACCGCCACGCCCGTCAGCAGCAGGTAGATGAAGATGAGCACCACCGTGAAGAAATTCCTCAGGCAGGTTCTACTGAATCTCCTCGGTGGACCGTTTCCCCTGTTGTCGTCCTCTGTAATGAAAGTGGGTCAAACTATGACACTGAAACCCGGACTAACAAAATCCTGCTAAATGTGTTAAATGTGAGTCTGTGAGACGCTCCAGATAAAAGTGTCCACCATGTTGTCACACAGCAGGTCATCATCACCCTGTGAGTTGCCGTCGTTGTGCTCCTCGCGCTCCAGGTCTTCAGTGGCATCGTCAAAGAAGCCTGGAGAGTGTGTGTTCCCTTCATCACCATCCTCATCATCATCAATGAGCTGTGAGGTTAGGAGGAAAGGGACAATGAAGCGCAGTCGCACCAAAGAAAGATAGTTTAGTCGGTTATAGATAACAGAAGAAAATAACTCACTTCTACTGCACATTTCAGAGGGAGATATTGTACTTTCACTACATTCATTCGACACCTTAAGTTACTCTGATTAAGATTAGTAATACAAAATACAATCAACAAATACATTATTATATAGTATTAAGATCAGATAAGAGCTAAAGTACCATGCAGTATAAATTATAAAGTGATTAAAATTAGCGGCTCCTTTACCAGCTGCGACATTGAAGTAATGTACACATTAATGCATCAATGATTATAATGCACAGTACTTTGATACTTCAGTCAAATTTATTTAAGGCAGAATATTTCTTGACTGTACAAAAATACTGTTACAAGTAAAAATCCTACGAATATAAGATTTCAGGGAAGTAAAAACGTAGTAACTGCAAAATGTACATAACTTGATGAAGTAAAAGTACTTGTTGGGTTCATTTCAGAGAGCAATATTATTTTATAGGCCTACATCATATTAGAGGAATATTATTACAGATGCTTTAACTTTTTAATGTTGAAGTATTATATTTAGAAAGTGATCATGTGTTTTATTTGTAAAGTCTTAATCGGTTAAGTAACTCCAGCTGTTGTGAAGTAAAAAATACAACATTTGCCTCTGAAAGGTAGAGTAGAAGTATAAAGTAGCACAGAATGGAAATACTCAAGTAAAGTACCTCACGATTGTTCTAGAGTAAATGTACAGTTACCTTCAACAACTGCCTTTTACTGGAGTAAAAGATCTGCTTCCTCTGACAGCAGAACAACTTTACATTTATCAGGTAGTGATAGTCCTGGTGACATTTTTATATATATATAACTGTGTATATATATATATATATATA